ATATCTCACTTATAAACTGATGTTTGTCTGAACACCTAATCCTTCATGACTGTATGAAGAATATGAAAAAATCTAAACAAGCAAGGCATGACTGACAATTCTGCAATCTGTAATAATTGACTATACTGCTGCTCTACTGCTGAACGCTTTTCAAACCCCATATATTCGAGTCTGCTTTTGTGTGCATATATTCCAGCTGCTTCTTGAATCAAATTGTTGATTTCCAGCTTCCTGTCTTGATAGTCTGAAATGTAAGAGTGATTACAGTCTCTGAAATGCCATAAATAGCAGGAGTGACGCACACACTCTGTCAAATGTCCATATGACAAGCAGTTTAAACTGTTTTCCTGTTCAGAACATCAAATTACTGTGTTAAATGAATAATAGAAAATAGAAGGCAGAACTATGACCCTTTCTCTCTCAGGGCCTTCTGTCTAAACATTTAAATTCTGTGTCTTCTGCCGCACACAAAACCCTTCATCCTATTTATTTGGTGGTTGTTATGCTGTAAACATTATTAATAAGCTCTTTACAAGTGATACTGTTTCAAAAGAGCCTTGCAAGAGTTTTGAGAATGTAAATGAGTTAAGAATCTGCTTCTATTTAAAGAACAGGGGTATAATGTCAATACTGCAATATAAATATTCATACACAAATACATACAAGTACAAAAATGTAACTTCAGTAAAAGTATGTAAGTACTGTTGCCATCTTAAAGTATCAAAAGTGAAAACTGTCATAGTTCAGAAAAATGTGAGTGTTAATATGATATGTAGCTGTTTGAGATGAAGCTAATTTGAACTACTTTATATACTGTTGGGAAGTTTAATCTATAACAATGCATCATATTTTATAATATCATCATATGTTCTGTAACCTGTAACTATAAGCTGTCAGTTTATTCTAGTTTATTAGTTTATTATTTATTAAGTACCTCAAATTTGTACTTTATTACAGGTTGAGTAAAAGTACTTACTTACAAGTATTTACATTCCACCATTGTTGGAACAGAGCTGTAGCAAACAGGATTAACAGCTTCTCACACTTTCAGTGACAGTGTTATGTGAAACAAGACAGCCTGGCAGCTTCCTACAATCACAGGTCATTTCCACTCAATCTAATTTTAAAGTTAAAGGAAGGCTGGATCATACATCATAGTTTATTTTTATTTTTTTTATTTTTATTTATGATTCCCCTGCAAAAACGAACACCGTTTGTCAAATCTCCACAGTGAATCTGAAGTTTCTGCCAAAATGAGTTTACAGTAAAAAAGGACAGCTGGAGCATATCAGTCACAATGATGCAACATAACGCACCAGTGAGTTGTGTTGCTGTGCAGCACCATTCCTGTCAGTGAATCAATTTATTGTGTAAATGGAAAACCCTAACAGCCCATGACCTTTCTCAACTGCCAGTAATTGCAGGCAATTTATATTAGTCAAACATAATTTACTGAAAGAGCAGGAGATGCTGAAACAACTAAGAGCAAGTTTATTCCCACACTCTACGCGTCATTTATTGCACCATTTCTGGGGTCATTTTAAAGGGAAAACATTTTGGTTTTCAACCTTTTAAGATTTCAGTTTCCATTAGTAAAATATTAACAGGAAGCAGACGTCCTACATGCGCCACTAACTTCGTTGGTGGGAACTTTTATAGCGGGTATTCAAATGAAAACCTGTATGCTCTGAATGCAATCAGTGGTATTAAATAAGATGATAAAAAGGTATTTGCCTCCAGATTAAATGTAATCAAACATATTGCAATTAAAATGCAAATGAGCACTGTATATGAATCTGTACCTAATCTCCACACCTCTGTAATGTATGAAGAAACGACCAATCACTCAAATGAACAAAGAACTGGTCGCTCACAGAGACGTCTTCCTCAAACTCTAAGGAGATCCGTATCACAAAAAATACAAATTAGATTTCGTGCCTCAACTCTCCCAAAGCCACAAGAGATGGAGATACTCAAACCATTAAATATGCACCATATCAGGACAGTTAGGTGTTTCTAATATTGGAAAACAGAGGTAGGCACTCTTGTTTTTTTTATTGAACCTTCAGTTGATACAAATAAAAAGTTTAGTTGCTGCAGCCTTATTTAATTGATCAAGTTGTAAAGACCTCTTTAAATAGTATATTTACTATTTATAGTGGTTATGAATGGTGGTCATAGCATTGAAGTCCTTCCAAGGAGTCAGATTTATACTTTATCTTCAAAGTAATTTGGCAGCAGGAGTTAAGTTTTGTATTTTTATTGAATTAAAACAAAAGTGATCCACTTCTGGCATGACAGATGTATTAAATAATAAGAGGTTTTTGTGCCTAGTGGTTATAGGAATATTCAAACATTTTGAAAAATTCTGCATAGTTGCACTCTAGCCAAAGGTTTGATGAAAAAATAGATACCACTGTTATGTCTGTACAGTCGGCAAGCCATTAAATAAGTATATTTTTCATAAAATGAATATTTTATGCAGTAACTTTGTCTCTAGTCATTTGGTGCTGGCAATGTAATATAGGTGTGGTAAGGTAATGTACAGCTTGTCTTTACAGCTTTTTCATTGTAAACAGCTGCCTGCTGCAGCCAAAAATGACAATGATCAGACAAAATAAAGACAATGATCTGTAAGAAGTAAAAATACTAAAATAGAGTATACCTACTAATAATAAGAATAACTTCAGAGGTGATAGACATTTGTGAGTTCACATCAAGTAGTCATGTGATCCTTGTTAATAATATAATAATTATTAATATAAAATATTGATTATAGCTGTTTCAATGGTTCAGCAAGATTCAGGTGGAAATTTGATATTCAGGGTATTATAATGTTTATTAGTGTCATATTCACACTAATGGAAGACTTATCAGAAATGTCCAGCAGAAGTACTGGATGCAAGCCTCTAACAGCTACAGATGGGGAAACTGTCAAGTTTGGAGCCAGAGTGAAACTACTGGATCTTAAAACAAGCTTAAAATAGCCGAAGCTGTGGGGAAACACAGAACAGGGAGGAGGGATTGGGAAAAACACTTGTCTGTGCCGGTAACTGAGCAATGGAAAACCGGTTGGCCTCCTGGGGAAACCGGCCACTGCTCCACTGTTCCTCTCCTGGGAGTGTCCGTCCATATGTGGTGAATTATCTCTCATTTCCCAAGCTACTTGATGTGATTGGAAATCTCACGCCCATTTCTTTCTGTGGCCTTGCACCCCAAGTTGGCCAGCTGAACCATCCCTATCCTCAGATGATCTGTTGGGACACATCAAGGCTAAAGTTGGGGGCTCATTACCTCCCAAACGTAATGCTTGACCCCATGTCACAAGCTAATCCCTTCCCCTCTGCCCTCTCATCTCCCTCAGGGTCCTCTTCAGTGTACTTTCTTTTACTTGGAACTATTCTGTGCTTTGATTGGAACCGATAGCTGGAGATAAAAATAGTCTAATATAAATGGGCAGTGGGTGCGTAGGCTAGCAGCAGCATTGTCTGTATATTTGGTGAGTCATTGCACATTGACGAATACACACATGTACAAGTGAATATGTAAATGTGGTTATTTTTAGATTTGCCATCTAATTTTTCCATTGGTGTTTTATTTTCCCCTCCATTTCATGCATGTAGGAACATTACAGATTGTTGGTTTACCCCCTAACAGTCTATTAACTCTAACCTTGGAGATGAAATACTGCTGCTAACCTTCACACAGATGAGGCCTGCTCCTGCGTAAGTGTGTACGTCATCATTATTTCAAATCTGTGATTCTTGACTCTATTTTTAAAAAATGCCTGAATATTTGTTGATAGTGTGCTATAAATTATGGAGAAAACATGAGCACATTCTGTCTATTACTGACACTAAAGTACAATGTGTACTAAAAAAACACTTGTTCTTCCAGTGACGGTCATAACATTAATATAGCTGTCTCTAGATATTCAGTTTGGGTTAATAGGCCTTTTTCATGGATTACATTTCATGACACAACAGAAAAAAACCACAGGTGTAAATCATAAAATTAATAATGTCTGAGTTCCATTTAGCTTTAGTTTCAAGGTCCTGGTATTATGAATGCTGGCTCACAGTCAGACAGTCGTGACTTATATTAGGGTACTTAAATAGAGTCATTGTTAGTGTTATTAGTTACACCTGTGATTTTATTCTTTAGATGGGAATAGGATAAAACAAAAATAAAGCTGATACAACAACACAGCCCTGGGAAATAATCATGTTATCAAGTTTTAAGGCTAATGTGTTAGCAAACAGTTACATCCAGCAGACACGTAGAAACTATTAATTGGAGTTATATTTCTGTAAATCAAATATTCAGCCCATCTTGTAGCTCTGGTTTTATCTCCACCACCTCCTGAGTAACAGATCTGGGTCTTTATTCTTCCTACTGCTTTGCTTTCTTCACAGTTAGTTGCTCACTTTTTTGTTTTGTCTGCCCTTTTATATTGATTTGTTAAATTTTAAATGTTGAATTCATTTCAATTCTAAAGCAAACAGCTGGCAACAAAAATAGCAGACAGTCAAATATGAGCGAGTATCCAATATTAATTAAACTTGTCAACCTGTCACAGCAGGCAAATGGATGAGCATGTAGCATCTATTCAGTTTGTAAAGCTTTGTCTTGTGAATGAGATGTGACTAGTTTGTTGGACACTGGTGGGTGAGTGTCATTCAGTGGACCTTCAATTGTTGAGCTATTCATAGCAACACTTTGGTCTGAATATAGCTTTGCTTGCCTGTTAGGTCGTCTGGGTCAGCATTTATAAGGCCTTAATCAGAGACTGGAGCGTGCTGCTAATGCAATTAGAAACACAGGGCAATTTCAGGCTGTCTCATTAGATTAAAAGTGTTCTGGTTTATAATGTGGAAGCTAGTTAGAAAAGAAAATATTTCATGCAGGGAAATGTTGCTACAGAGAGGCTCAGATGTACAGTACAGTTTATGCACATATAAGACATACTTTTGAAGATACTTTTGAATTTAAATGAAATTATGCAGTTACAGTGCTTGCAAGATGTTTTAATTCTTTGATGTGTTAAATTATATTAAATCACGTCAGCATTTACAAGCATGTTACTTCTTATATATGGTTTTACAACAATCTTCTTGTATCAATTTATCTTAATTAGGAATCAGTGTGATAGCAATGAGCAGATGTGTTTAACATAAATGAATAACAGGTACATGCAGTGTAAATTACTATGAGTACTGAAGCCAAGGTTAGAAAAAAATAAATCTAAAATTTACAGGAAAGAAGTCTGCTTTTTTAAAGTTATGACTTGAAACTTGAAATATTAAGACTTTAATCTAAATTACAACTTTTCTTGTAAAATGACAACTTTTTCTGTTCATGGCCCTACTGCTGTTGTAATAAATAGGCAAAATTTTGCAACAAATGAACAGGTCTACAGCAATAAAAAAAATGACAAACTTAAAACATAAGCAAACATCATGTCCCAGACACAAGCCTACACATGTATTTAACATTGATCCTATGACTGAAATATACATAATTTTTTAGACATTCATGGTCACTCAATGAATTCAGTGCCCTACATCGGTCCATTTGGCCAGGGCAGTAAGCAGGACAGACATCACAGTATCGTGCTGATTAGATTGAAATCTTCAGGGGAACTCTCTCCTGGTTAGTTTTGCTCGGCTGTTTGGGGTTCTGGTAGGACAGTCTCACAAATACAACAATGAGGATGGTTCCTGGAATTAAAAAAAGAAAACCAAAACACTGCTATATTCAACAACATCACTATGTCAGTGCTTATTTCTTTGTAAAATATAGTGAATAGGCACAGTATGACAACGCCTAGAAAGATCTAAACAATCCAGTACAATGGCCGTGCAACAAAGACTGCCAAATACTACTTTTGTAAAGCTTGTAAAGAAGCTTGTAATGCATATGTATATGATGCAATACAGTACCCACCAATCTCTCTGCTTACCTATGACTGCAAAGGTGCCCAGAAGAATTCCCACTGCAGATTGAATAGTTGGCATGCCCTGCAACTGCTTGGCAGCCATTTTGCAGTTCCCTCTGATGTTGCAGGGACACACTGTCACTAACAGGACAGGAAAAGGGCAAAACAACTCACAGATCAGGGCTTTTTATCATCACACAGAGAACTTCTGACTGAACAGGAAATACAATTGATAAAATGGATTTAGGATTGATGTTTGATGCCGAGATTCTTCACAACAATTTAAGTTATAGCCCTTCCTCCAACCAAAAACACTGGTCAGATAAAGACTGTTCAGCTTATAATGAATGAAACATTTATAATAATTCATATAAACGCTGTACAGTAACGTGAAAGGCATAAAATTTTTAACTGCCCGTACAATGACTATTTGTTTTATTTGATTGTCATATAGAAGTTTACCTAATTTAACTGTAAAATTGCAGGCAGGGAAAACCAAAGGACAACACCTTCTTGACACCCCTTATTGTATTAACCATACAGTTTATCGAAATGTTTTATGTATATAAGGTGTCAGCAGGCTGTACTGGGCAGAACACATTCTTAAGAGAGCTGTGTAATCACAAGCCTGGAAAAATCATTTGTAAAGCCCCATTGCATCAGTATCAAACAAGAACAGCACTAGGACAAGCTGGCACACAGGGGTTGATCCCTATTGATTGTTCCTATGCTCTTGCCCCATAACCTCCCTGTGCTCTCTTTAGCAAATCTGCATCAAAGTCATTACCTGGCAAGTTTATGAAGGTGCTCCTGGGAGGAGAGCTGCTGTCAGAGATAGTGAAGGGCACAGTGTAGACCTCAGGAGCCAAGTATGGGATGTTTAATGACAGGTTAGTGTGAGTATCTGAAGGACAAAAACACTTGACACTTAAAAATGTAGCTATTATTAATTAAAAAAGTAAATAAATAAAATTACACACACAATTTACAGTTTTCTACTACAAAAGGAGTAAAAATCAAGCGAAACCACATCCATACAACTGCATAACTACACAGCACAGCGAATGAGAGAGAGTAATGGAGTTGTGTATGCAGAGGTCTGGAGTGTGTGACTCTTTATCTTATCTCTGTAAATCAGTGTAAGATACACGCCTGGCTGCATGACGTAAAAGCCCTGTCCTGTAAAGAGAAGTGTTTTATCAAGCTGTTTGAACCCTTATCTGAGGGTCTTAAACTCCACGCTTGTACCTCACCATCATTCCCCTTCATGTTTCTTTTGTCATTCAGGAAAACACGAGCTGTGCAGCACTTCTGTAGGGGCGGTTAATGCATTTTATCCACTATTTGCACTGTTTCACCTCTGATGTGACATTTTTCACAGGTTGGATCTGCGACCACCTGCCTACCCAGAGCTATTTTGGATGATTGTGACACCAGAAAATGTAAATGGGTAACAGGAAGACAGGATGTATCGCATTTCTCTCCTGAATGCTGTGAACAGCCATTGAGAGTGGACGTAAGAGGAATAAGAGTGTGCTGCCTCATTAACTGAATTTCTGAATTGAAAAGAACTCAGTTATTATAACTTGGTAGAATTGAGAGTCTCTGAATGACTTGAGATGAATAGCCATCACACACACACACACAAACACACACACACACACACACACAAACACACACACACGCGCACAGGTGTTCTTTTTTTCATGAGAGGTTGGTGGTGCATGCAAACGGTGCAACTCTACAGCAGACATTATACTGGCACAAGTACACATTATTGGTACAACCATTACTGGCTGCGACCAGGTGCAAAGCATTCTGGGAGATTCCTTTTTTTAGCCTCCATTAGCTGGCAGTAACCCAGTGGTGACGCCAAAGAAATTACACACAAGATATAATTACAACTGGGCTCAATCAATACCGACAGGAACAGGAGAGTGAAAGAGGGAGATTAAAAAAAAACCTGAGAGGAAGTGGTTGAACTGACTTAATGACAGACGTCATAGCAGTAAATTGTTTGCATTAAATGAGCCCAACACTAGCAGTTTACAACTGCAAAAAAAGGATAATTACATTGTACCTCCCATGCCAGATAGGACTGTAGAAATTATGCTGGAAGAAAATAGAACAGGGCAATTTGCACATCTTCAGGACCAGATCACTCTTGACTGTCTGTACTCATGGATGGCATACTGCCTATTTTAATTCATACAAGTCAAAGTAACTAAAACACTTAGCACACTGTGACAAACTCAGTGCCCACTCACTCTATTTAAAAATCTATTTATCAGTAATGTCATATTGCACCGCCTTGTGTTTGGTGTTTTGATTTCTCTTGTCTGATAATGTAATGTAATGTAATGGCTCCAGTCTGAGGCTTAAATAAGAGGTAACCTAGGACAAGATTCACCACAACTTGCTGTGTTCTGGAGTTTGAGGACAAATGTAAGCCACACTGTACCTGCATATGGTCGTCAGATTTGGTCATGATTTGTGGGGTGATTTGGGCTAATAACTACATCCATTTAGCACCACTCTAGTTGGCTTTTACGCTACATTGGCACCCAGAATCAGACCAGAGTACTAAGGCATAATTGATACTTGATACTACCAAATGATAATTAAAAGACCCAATAAATGTATGTAAAAGTTATTTTGATTATGATTGGCTACAATTAATGTCATATTTTTTAGCCTGCAAAATCAATGTAGAAAAGTAACTTAAGATAACTTCTCCTAACAATGTGACCTTATTTCACTGTCCTCTCTTTTCACCTCTGCTATGGGTTGACTGGGTTTATCTAGATTGCATTCACCTCACCATTAATAGGTGTTAGCTTCCAGTTACGTCTGACTGTGGCATCACTGCGCAGGGAGAAGTTCAGTCGTCCTCCATGCTGTGGCCCATCACTGTCCCGTGAGGCAAGCACCAGAGCTTGGTCCTCCCAGCGAGGTGTACACAGGTACTTCCAGGAATAGTCTCCAACCAGCACCGGACTGTTGTCATTCACGTCCAGGATTTGGACAGTCACCAAGGTGGACGCAGATAAGGAAGAGTTTCCTAAGAGAAACACAAGAGACAAATACAAATAGGCTACAGCTGAAGTGCTGCATCTTCATTGCCATCTTCATCTTAATGTTGTATTTTTTTCTTGATGATGATACTCCAGCATCACAGTTCTTGTAGCCTAACCTTTTGCTGGTTGTTTTCGGTTTGTATTGCACTTAAACTGCTTTGTCTTGAGCTTTTCTGTAACTTTGTCTCTTCTTCTGTACTGTATTCTTAAGACACTAAGTTTGTCTGTATAGATGTGCACAGACTTACAGTATGTGTGTAAAGATAATTCAATAGAAAAAAATCAAATAAATGGGACTAAAGACTTATTACATTTAAGATAATGTGTATAAAATACAAAGATCAAATCATACAACATCTTTTATTTTTAGTATTTATGAAATAATGAAAGGGATCTTACGTCCATCTACTGCAATGACCTCCATGGTGTATGTGCTGTTCTCCTCTCTATCCAAGGCCTGCACTGTCTTTAGTTCACCAGAATACTTCCCTATTGAAAAGTATTTCTTGGTGTCCCCTTGAAGAGAATATCTGCAAGAAAACACGTGCAACCCTGTAAATATAAACTGTGATACTTCATGAAGTAGAGATTCTTGCAGCATTCATCAGTTCTTAGACTTACCTGATTGGGTGAGAATCGGGGTCATAACCTCGAATAGTGGCGATAACCCGTCCTGGTTCCTCGCCCTCTCTGACAGTCACCTCATAATGGCTTTGAGACAAGACTGGACCTTCATTCACATCATCAACATAGATGGAGACTGTTGCTGTGGAGGCAGGTCCATATCGGCCACGGACCAAAGCCACTGGGTTCTGAGCACTGAGCACGAGGATGTACTCACTTTCCCGCTCAAAGTCCAACACCTATAAGAACATACGTACACAAAAGTACACAAACACAGTGTTAACATCCTTCAGAGTTTACAGAGTTTTGTTGATCTGGTAAATGATGAGATATGAATTATGTGTAATGTGTAAAAAGAATGCCACAAAGTGCGGGAATTGCATTAAAGGGCAAGTTCACCCCAATTGTAGATAACATTTTTATCCCTGACACTTTTGACAATTCTGATAAGCCCCAATACAATAAAAGAATATTTATATCCCCAATT